TTTATATAATATTTTAGCTTGAAAGAATCTGATTGGTCGAAAGCTCGCGGTCGAAAACCACTGATTGGCTGTTTTTTAGCTTGAAAGAATCCGATTGGTCGAAAGCCCGAGGTAGAAAACCCCTGATTGGCTGACTTTTTAGCTTGAAAGAATCTGCTTGGTGGAAAGCTCGAGGTCGAAAACCACTGATTGGCTGTTTTTTAGCTTCAAAAAATCTGATTGGTCGAACGAGCGAGTCCGAATACCTGTGATTGGGTGATTTCTCAGGGTGAAAGTAAGATTTTGTGATCTCATGTTTTTTTGACCTTTGACCTTTGACCCTGGCACAGACAGAGCCACAAACGCATTTTAGTTTTTTTCGTATGACCCTCCCTTCAGTCGAGGGAACAAGAGGCCAACCAGAACTGTTATATCTTATCACAAAACGAGTTGTTGATTTTAGTTTATAAGCATGTTTTTGGCGAAATTATAGCTGCGCTGATAAGCTTTCTTTTCTATGTCAACATACATGCTTGAAAAGTGCTACTGACATTCATTCAAACAATTTCAACAGCTGTACTCATACAATCAGCAAAAGGATGATGTAGGAAATTCAAAATATTATGTCTGAATTAAAACGAGCGTATCTTTACGATAAACAAAGCAGCAAACTGAAAAGAAATGCTGAGATGCCAAATTTAACAAGGGTTTCGAAATTTTAAATGAAGTTAAAACTCTTTGTAGGTTTCGTATAATATTACGAAGTTCTCAGAATGGTTTCCTATAGGCCTGATAAGCCCTTATAAGGGTTTCGTAGCATGCATGAAACTCGTGTTAAGTTCTGCAACTCAACATTTTTCCCAGTGCAGTGAATTTTTTCCATAAGAGTTCATCTACCAAGTGTTCCAAAGTGTTTGCAACATCATTCGTTTTCTGAATATTTCTGTACAGACAAATGACATAATTTTGTCTTTTTTCAGAAGACGTGCCTTGGAAAGTTCTACAAAACCTGTATGAACGAATTCCTCTAGGCATGTCCGGACAACTTTTTTCATCATCACAATAGAAAGCATACATAATAACGGGTGGACGAAAATTATTTAGACAAAATGTTGATAGCTGAAACATACGTATAACAACTATTGGAACAATTGATTTTATATTGATTACATAGCTTGTCATGCCCTCTATCTGTCATATAAATTTGACATTTTTCAATTGATCGATTGTTGGCAAAATAATCGATCTCCGTAAATACGTTTTTTCTATGTTTGGACAAAATAAAAATTTGAAAAAAATTGACATAGTGAAATATTTAGCCAAAATGTGTTTTGGTAGAATTGGAACTTATGTTTCTTCTGTTCAACAAGTATTTATTATAAAAGCTTGGTTACATAAAAAATACACAACAAGAGTCTAAAAATCACACAGTTAAAGTATTGAAAATGGTCCCTTGTCTTCCACCTTTCGTAATTTTGTTCGTACTTTATCCATCATGTGCTGGACAACATCGATATCAGTTTCTTTTATTTTCTGACAAATTCGTCTTTTTAATTGTAATTCACTTTTTGCCTCCCAACCTCCCTCATAAACTTTATCAGCAAGCATCATTTTTTTTCAAATTTTTATGTTGTTCAAGCATAGCATAAATACGTTTACGAAGATCAATCATGTTGACAATAATCGTTCAATCAAAAAATGTCAAATTTGCATGACAAATAGAGGGCGCAACAAGCTATGTAATTAATATAAAATCAATTGTTTCAATAGTTATTATACGTATGTTTCAGTTATCAACATTTTGTCCAAACATAGAAAAAACGTATTTACGGAGATCGATTATTTTGCCAACAATCGATCAATTGAAAAATGTCAAATTTATATGACAGATAGAGGGCATGACAAGCTATGTAATCAATATAAAATCAATTGTTCCAATAGTTGTTATACGTATGTTTCAGCTATCAACATTTTGTCTAAATAATTTTCGTCCACTCGTTAGAGCTACTTTCTACAATATTTAGCATACTAACAATGTTAAAAATCATTTTTGTTTTACATGTATCTTATCTTGAGAAAGTGATTTAACCTTAAATCTTTCTTTACAAGGTGTATCGTTAAAAGCTTTACAAAACCTGTATTCAACCACGGACAAAACTGGCCTACACTTTATGTTTTCATCTAAAATAACGAGTTTATGATCAGAAGAAGTTTTCTTGGACATGTATGAATAGTACCAGTATAGATGTTTATAATACAAATAAAAATCTGATATGAAGATACAAACTGTTGATCTATTTCCTGAGTATGTTTAATATATTTTTGGATAACATTTAATGATAAACCATTGAAAGCTTCATCGACAGCATTCTCTAGTTCATATTGTGATCTCGGATTTTTATTCTTAACTTGTTGTTTGATAATGTTCCAGACCGGTTCAATTGCATTATAATCGGGACTATAACCTAGCCATTCCCATAATTCAATATTATATTGGTCACACCATTGCTTGAATTGAGTACTTCTGTGCCATTTAACTCCACCAGAAACACATATGAATTCATTTCATTTTCGCCAATTTCCAGATAAAATTTCATCAACTGTTTTACAAATGTATCACTATTTAACCCGCTATTAAATCGACGAAAGACATACCATTTCATCTATCTGTATAATTCACATCATTATGACGACGATAATAATTAATGACACCGTATACTGTACTACCGTGACAATTGAAAGAACGTGCAACTTATGAGACATTTATAGAGCCTTTTCTTTATTCAATGATTATATACCATTGTTGTTCTTCAGTCAATGTATACATTTTCAATAAAATCATTGAGCAACGAAATAGAGAGTAAACATAAAATATACAAAAGTAAATATACATCAACTGACCATTGTATGTTTTATTCAAGCCAATTCATGTATGTGTAACATCCTTCATTTTTATCTTCCCTAGACTGAAAGGATGGGATCCAGATAAATGTCCATTATAACTATGGTTCAAACGACCATCTGGCGACTATGGTCAGAATAACGATGCCACAACTACGGTGCAAATGATCGTATAGGAACTATGGTTAAAGTGACAAATGGTCTTTTGATGCTTTTTGAGAAGAATCTGAAGCAAATACGGCTTTTGATATTAAAGTTTTTTATTGTCTTCTATAGTTAGATTAGAGACTGACTTCGGATGAGCTCACAGTATCAATCGAATTTGATTGCTGTCACCAGTGTATTTTACCGAAATTCCACACTGGCAGTTTTAGAATTCGATCGTAGGAATCGCAACAACGATATTCGACAAGATTCAACCAAAATTATTCGTTTTCAATAGGAATAGTCTTTCGTACTACAGAAGACAAATCATTATAGATGATCTGCTGAGTTCACATTATTAAACAACATTCGTCGTATGTAGGTGTGTTTATAACTGACAAGATCATGTGTGGCCTTGCTTGATAGAACATCTGACCAGTTTTCGGAAAATGCACATTCAATTCTTCTCCTTTTTGTATGATTCTTTCTATTCAACCGAAGGTGTCAGACAAAGCATATCGATGGTGAATGTTCTAAACAATGAAAATAGATAGAATTTCATACACATGTGGAATGACATTAAATGTTTCATATTTAAATCCATTTATGCTTTCTCGTTCAACTGAAGTGTTGATCAAGTCACCCTCAAGAAAATTCGATAGTTGAATAGGTAAAATAACTGACTAAAGTCCTGCTCTGATCCGATGTATTTTCATTTCACGTATCATTTCAAAATATGTAACTATTCTTTCATTTTTTTCACTTTTGCTTTATTTTTCAATCTATAAATGGCAAAAATTGTTCTGTATTGATTGATTTTTCTCAGGCAGTAGTTTCTCTCTTTCTATAGATAAGTGGAAAAAAAATAAGAAAGAATGTCGTTATGCTCATGACAGCTATATTTATATGCTCCCTCTGATGTTTATATCAAAATTTTTTCTTTTCGGTTCTATTATAAATTGCAACGAAATGAAAATGAAAGTAGAATGTATACTTCGTCTTGCAACCAATCAATAGACATTTATTGTATTTTTGGGACATTTTATTTTTTTGCCTTCTTTAGTATCGATCAAGACAAAAGCAGAATTTTGAATAATCTCTAGTAGAAAAATTTATGTCATCTTAGGATGATTTGAAAGTAGAAATCTATTCATAGACAGAATTTGGAATAAGTATTCCCTGTGACCCTCATTGATTTTTGGAAGCGAAAGCGAGGCGATATAAAAGACTAATCCAACAAATCTTCGTAAATCGTACGAATAGTTTCTCGTAGAATAGAACATTTTTTTTGCAGAGACATCGAAAAATGTAGATGAATTGTCTTCCACATCAAGATTTATGCCATTACTTATTCAAAGTAGCCAGACTGCATAGGAGAGACATTCGTCCAGTAGGATATTATCGTATATATCACATCAGAGAATGTCACATGATTATCACTGTAACGTTTGATATACATCCTACATTTCGATAAATGTATTCATGATCATTTTTTTCAGATATCCGAATCATGAATTCAATGCATCTTTACTCAATATTATTTATTTTAAGTGTTATTTACCCATTTTCTGACTCGTTAAGTGTGGAATGGAATGCTCGAATTCGACGAAAGGATTCGACATTTATAGAAATAAAATGTATTTTGATTGATTCAGTAGTTAAAGAATGCTGTGACACACATATAACAGAACATGATACAGAAAATACAACAGTAACAGAATTCTGTGTATTTGATGAAAAATTTCGAGTTAAATATCAAACACAAAATGGTCAAAATATTAGAAGTACAATTGAAACTTTTGGACATTTTTTTCCACGATTAATGAAGGTAAATTATATTGCAGCGATTGTCTATCGAGATATTTTCTTTTGTTTTAGAAAAAAATCTTTTTTTCGATTTTTTATTTTTTGTCTTTTTGAATTAAGCCCCGTGATTTTGACAAATGCTATTATGATTCCAATAATGTTCGAAATGTTCAATGGACTATCAAAAATAAAGAAGATAATGGTAGTGTCAGTGATACAAAAGCGTTCCTCATTGTACTTGGAATATTTGTAGTGCCAGCCATCATATGTGGTGTCATATATTCATTTCTTTAAATAATTTTTCAATGAAACATACGGATTTATATACATTTCAATATTGTTGGACTCGAAAATTGCGAAACTGCAAAACAAACCGATTGAATTTGTGGATTTGACAGAAATCGGATCGATTTAAATCAAATTATTTTTTGAGTTTGTTATGTTCGAAGTGTTCCCCTTCGAACATAAGACGAAACGAAACGAATAATGAGTACTCCTTTCTAGTACAGTGGTTAATACGACTGCCCGGAAAGCAGGAGATGCATGGTTCGATTCCATGCGAAGGGAGATTATTCTTTTGTTCCGTTCTGTGGTCATACCATCACGTTGCTATCTCGCTGATAACAACTCGTAACAGAGTTGTTTCAAAAATGGGATAAACTTCAATAAAAAACTTAGAAACATTTTTATTTCATAAAAAATATGGAAAACATTTTATCCAATGAACTGATATTTTCTGAAGAAATAAATATGAAATTATATTATTTGTGGGTGTGGGTGTGGGTGTGGGGTGGGTGTGGGTGTGGGTGTGGGTGTGTGGGTGTGGAAGTGGGTGAGGATTCAGGTCTTGTCTTTACTCACAACTACACCCACACCCACACCCTAGGCTTTTGCTAGTCTCACTGAGACCTCCTTGTGGACACAATATCTGTTCAAACGGCGAATCTCACCTGGGATGGTTCCCTTGTTAGCTAAGGAAATGAAGTTCGTGTGTATGAAAAGAGCATTATTGTTAATTAAACAAGTTTTAAAAAATTCATTTGTTACGCATACAAACGATGTTAATTTGTTCAAAGAACTGCATCAAAAGAGTCACAATACAGGAAAAAGGACGCTGTTCAAACAGTGTAGAATTTAAATGGCATTTTTACGCTTGAAATGCAACTTTTCGAACATTTAAGAGCAAGATACAAATTGTCTATTACTATAAAAGCGTTTTTTGGCATTTCTGTCTGTTTAGCAGAATGGGTTATGTTCTCCTGTTATTCATAAGTGTCAATGACTTTGGATCTTTTTTTTTGTAATATTTCTTCTGGATCTTCGAGGAATGGAACCTGTTATCAGAACGCAACTGATCGTGCTGCCATCCACTTGAGTTGTTTTGACCTCGGATATATCGACACGCTGAATTTAGTATACAGCGCAGTTTGATCCAATACCAAACAGCAATGATCATGCATAAAAGTACGATGATCCCGATGAGAGAGCCAACCACTATTGCAGCAGTAACACTAGGTGCAAGGTCGTTAATAGCTCTAACTATTGCCCACGTTTGAACATTTGGTTCTTTCTCGACTTTTATTTGAATTGAAGGAATGGAATCGCCGTCAGAACTTATATTGCCAATTGAATTTGCTGAAAACATGTGCAAAGATACTAATATCAGCAACAATTCTAAACCATTTTTCACATATATTGATCTATAGCATAAAAGTTGCGTCATTTTTGGCGATTAATCGCGGTATGAGCAAAAAATCGTCGGCTAATCGCGATTGATAATCGGTTTTTCGGATATTCCCATAAATCGTGATCAATCGGCGATTTTCCAAACTCCAACAGTAAGTATTATTTTATAAAAATAAATGTTTTTTGTATTATTTAGGTCAATCTCAATAACAAAATAAACAGTAAATTGTTAAATAATATAATTATTATTTTTTCTTTTATTTAGATTGGTCCCAATATCAGAATGAATAGTAAGTATTATTTTATTTAAAAAAACTTTGTATTATTTACGGTGGATGGGAAGAGGAAATCATCTTTCTTCTCATTCACAAGAAATGTGTATGAACACAATGGTAAACGACGATTATCTATATGTCAGGACGCGGCCGTAGTCCTAGACTCAAGTATTAGAATCAGAGTGGATCGTCGTAACTGTTATTTAAATAATCGCGATTTCCTATGAAAATCGGAAAAACGCAATTATTCGTAAAAATCGGCAAAAATCGCCAGTTTAGGCGATTAATTGGGCTGATAAATCGTGATAAAACCGCCGATTTTTACGCGATTTTAGCGACATGGGAAGTTTATTTCCAACAGCCAAAATAGCTCACCAACTGTCAAACTACGATACTGCAATGTTGATCTTCGCAACTTCACAATATCACTTCAAAAATAAATGAAAAAAAGGCGCGTCGACACCTGCGTATAACAAAAGCAAAAGATAAAATTTTATTTGAATTATAATTTATAATTCAGATGAGGCTTCCCTATAACTGCCGCTGTGACACAAACACGTAATACTTGAAACCTGAATTCAATTATTGGAATTCTTGGGACCCTTAAACGGGAAAACATTGGAGAGATGCCCTCGGGCGTAGGAGGGATCCCTTAGAAGGTGAAGAGAACGCATGGAAGAGGCTGAGGCTTCTCAAAATGGGGAGAAACTCTAGAGAGGAGCCCTCGGGAGAGAGCAGGACCTCTTGGAAGACGAAGGGCAAAATGCTGCGGAGTAAATCTCAAGGAAGTAGAAACGTTGCGGAGAGGTTCCTTTTGGAGGACAAAACCCTACACGAAAATTTGAGGGCAAAGTCTAGGACTTCTAAAGGGCAAAGTGCCATGCAGGAGGCCCTTTAGGAGAGCCGAACCCTGAAGGAGAGATTGACGGTAAAACCCTCGAAGCCTCATTTGCAGACGGGAGGACAGGACCCTTGGAGGGAAGAGGTGTCATAGTAAAACCTTTAAGTGGGACTGGATATGACGGTGGAACGACTTTGCCGGAGTAACTAACCCTTTGTATCAGCGTCGTGGCATGAAAGCGCGCAGTGCTTCCCTGAAGAACCGCGACTCATGCTCGTCTCTGCCTACAGAGTAAAGTCTATCGTTGGTTTATGTTATAGAATACCTTTGAAATAACTGTAGGGTTTGGACCCTCATTCCTTCACGCAGTTTCAAAAAACTTTTTCGAGATTTAATCTCAACAGTTACGACAACTGAAAAGTTATTCCAAATGAGATATCTTAAGAAGGTTACATTCGTTTCCGCTGAAATTTATGAGGATATTCTAATAACTATAGGATCGACATGCAGACATAGGTTCCGACCGAAATATCGCCATTCGATTTTTTTAGCTAGGGGCATAGTTAGAAATTTTAGTAAAACTGATATAATTCAAGGCGAAGCACCTAACAAAACGTACCATTTTAGACTTTTCAAAAATCTCAATGAGCCCTAGCAATGGGCAAGATACCAACCTGACGGGCGATGATCATCTTGAGAGATCTCCTCGTGAGTTATATAATTAACTTCTTACTAGCCTGTAACACCTATATAGAATGAAGTTTTCAAAGGATGGTATGGAGCCAACAAAGCAAAAAACTTTTTGTGCACAACTGACTAAGAAACTCCACACAAGTAAACAACACTTCAGCACAGCTTAACTATAAGCTCTGTGGCTCAATAGTAAAACATCGTCTGGCCCGTGACTTTGGCGTGTTTCATCACATTGATAATAAATTCCTTGGCTTAGATCAAATTTTTACTAAGCTCTATTTATGATAAGGCTTTATTAGAAATGTGTCACGTTTTCATTAGTTTCAACGCGTGGTGCCATAGCTTTCGCGGTATAAGAATACGCAGCCACGATCGCGATTTCGACCTTGCTTAAGGGTCTCATCAGGTGGCATTATTCTAATTCCATCATAAACTAAAAAGTTTACAACAGAAAAGCGTTGTTCAACTCCCATATGGAAGAGAACCGGGTCGAAATCGCGATCATGGCTGCTTATTCTTATAGTTGCAGTCATGCTTCTTTATACCGGTTCTCTTCCATATGGGAGCCCATGTCGCCACTTTTTTAACAACTGCGTCGCAGTTACGCGTAGAGCCAATTCTGCGTCGCAGTTACGCGTAACTGCGAAATTTTGATCGTAACTGCGGCGCATTGATCGCAGCAAAAACATCATATGTTCGACTACGATCGACTGCGACGCAATTACGCGTAACTGCGAATAAAATATCGCAGTTGCGCGCAGCTACGGTAAAAAAATCGCAGTTACGCGTAGCGGCGCCGCAATTTTGGGTGTGGGGTGAATGTGGGTGTGGGTGTGAATGTGGATGTGGATGTGAACGAATATAGTAGTGACACCCACACCCACACCCACCACACCCTGATGAGACCCTTAAGCAAGGTCGAATTCGCGATCGTGGCTGCTTATTCTGATGGTTGCCGATATGACATGCCCATTCGATCGAAGTTGGTGCTTTTTTCGTGTTTGTCCTCCCTAAGCAGTCAGAAAAGTCAAATTGACGCGTTTTAACAACCGTTTTGCATTCTATCTTTTAACGCATTTTACACAGTCAAAAATGTCCGAATTTTGGCGTTTTAACGGTCTCAACGTTTTCATCTTTCACACAGTTAAAACGAAAGGCAGAACAAACGTTTAAACACGTTACTGAAATAAATGCATCAGAACGCCAAAATTCGGACATTTTTGATGGTGTTAAACGCGTTTCAGGAAAACATTCTAACGCTTTGAAAATGCAATCATTGAATCGCACTCTCGAGGTTAACAGATTAAAACTCGTAATTTCGAACATTTTTGAATGTGTAGAACTTCCTATCTATTTTAAGTCTGTTATCAACCTGTCTGACGAGTGTTACTTTGACTTCGTTGTACGTAAGTCTGTCTACAATAAATCTCAAATATTTCATTGATGTTCACTGCTGCTAACTCTGGAAGTTCAACGAAGTATTAGGGATTTATTGTAGACAGACTACGTATAACGGACTCAAAGTAACATGCTGATGAGCGACGTTGATAACTTACGTCAAATATTTAACAAGTTCTCGAAAATAGCTTTGACGTGTCTTAGGAGTACGCTGAAAGACGGAATCTTCCCTTTTTCTCCATTACTTGATGAACGTCATAGTGAAATGCATATGTAATAAAGCTATTGTTATACACTGCTGAATTGTATCAAATGAGAGAATGATGAAATTGTCTATCTTGGAAAAAGAGACTTGAAATGTGTCAAGACAAACTACCATTGTGTTGATCTGTTAAGACCTT